TCTTGTTTACATTTCCAACATAATTTTGAAGTAACTTTATGCATTTGAGACACTTTCTGCAGTGGCATACACTACTCAATACATCATTTGATTAAAACAAAATCTCTAAGATTGTGACAGGATGTAAATTCCAGTCTTTTCAACTACATGTTCCTCCACTTTTCTGTCTGAATATTATAACCAAAGTGTATGAAGAGGTATTTTTAAAAAGCCGCATTTAGGTTTAAGCTTTATGTGAAGTATGCCAGGGAAAGTTAATTCGGTGATGGCTATATGCATTGGCCTGTGCATTCATTGGCTCAGTGTTTTGTCCAACAGAAGCACACCAGACTTGTTCATAAAGCACTTACTCTTATGTGCCATGTTTAGAGAATGGAACTAGGGTCGTTTCCATTTAAGACTAAATCAGCAGGGAAACTTTCGACTTTGGCAACTCTGTGCCTCTCTCAGCCTGATTTATCTTACAAGGCGCTGATTTATAGACTTAGTAAAGATTATGTCCTATTTAATTGGGTTTGGGCTATCCAATTCCTTCTTACGGGAAATGTAGATGCGTGTTACAATGTAAATCCTTATATTAACCTTGGTCAGCATCCTTATTGCAATCTGTTTTACAGCCAGAGTTTTGCATGTTGAAATGGACGATTCCTGCTGCAATTCATAGCCACACAAAGCAAAATCTCAGTACTGTAAAGCTTCCCCTGAAGAATGTTAGCTAAACTTGCCCGTGTTTGTTACATCATATTGCAATTCCTCTTTTAATATGCATGAAACATTATCTTCCGGCATCAATGCACATGTATTTGTTGTGGTTGTTGTTGCTTGCATGTCTAAAAGAAAACAGAAGAAAAAAAGACTCTTTTTATCTTTTAAAACAAAACATTTTTAATTAAATCTCTTCCCATGCAAAGTTAGAGGCAGCTGTTGATATGTGCAGTTAAATCAAAACAGGGCATGGGGTGGGAAACAGCAGTGACTATATCTAATTTAATATACATTGATATTTTAAAAAAAACTTCCATCACCCACCAAACACATTGACTTTTCTTTCCTAGTTGCTTCCTTATTTATAAATTAAACATTTACACTCCTCCATTTTGATTTTCCTTCTTGCTCCTTGGGTGATTTATTCAAAGGATCCCCTGTCTGAAGTATTGCAGCAGAACAGATTCAAAAATGTCTGTTCAGAGAAGGAAGTGAAGAGTTTTGGTTCCCATTTTGCACTTCTGGAACAGTTTAAGGAAGGAAGCACCTTTACACCTTTTATTGTTCGTGGTTGCTGACATCATCTCCTTCCCTGACCACTCAGTGCGTGTTTCCTGCCATTCTGTCAAGAAGCTGCTGTGATACTGAGTGGGAGATGGACAGAATGTGTAAGAGAGCAGGCAAGGAAGAGACTGCAGGGTGTGGATTTGTCCACTGGAACTCAGATTCTTCTTCCCTCAGCTGTCTCTGCTTTTGCCAAATTGTAAAGCGAACAGAAGCCCGCCAAAATGAAGTTCCTCATTTTAGCAAACAATCTGATTTTTGTTGTAAGTGTTTGGGTTTCCAAAAGGGGGAAAATGCTGAAGGCAGTAATTTTGAAGACTGTAGCATCAACATTTTTAATGCATTTGTTTACATATAATTTTGTCATCGTTTTAAAAGATTTCTTTAATGTTGACCTATTTGGATCGGGTTTCTGGAATAATTTAATTCATGGCTAGTTTTGTGTGGTGAACATTCTTTAGGGCAGCCTAGAGCTTGTGCTGTTGTAACCTTTTTGTTTTTGAGAAATGCATGGTAGGTTTTCAAAGGCGACTTTAAATAGTTAATTACTGAAAGTTGATCTTGTAGAAGTTTCAGAAGCAGGTAGTCAACATACTTTTAGATATTTGGCAATATTAGAGGGTAGATAGCTCATAAATTGACTATGCTTTTAAATTTACCCCCACAATATATTTATCAAGTTTCTTTACCATATAATTTAGCTGTATGGGTTTGAATCTTTCCTATATATATATATATAAATGGTAATTTCTATTTTTAGTTCATGCATGCATATTTATAGAGATATTTTTCTGCTATCTTTCGGATGGGGGTATAATTCAGCTAAAAAAAACCCTAAAATCCTACAGTCACTTTTGAGCAAAAAGCTCTTCATAATCTCTGTTGTTTATAACTGATAGAACTGTTGTATCTCCGAACCATGTGTATGTTTCTAAGTGCTTGCGTATGTGCACATATGTATGAACAGATAGAAACAGTGAGCATACTGTTCAGCTTCTTGATCCTCCACATTCCTGGATCTGAGAAGCAGCAACATAATAAATGGGATCAATGTTTCCTTTTTAAATTGCAAAGGTTATTCTCTTCCACCCACCACCACCACCAGCACCACTACCAACTTGTCAACAAATTGTTGCTGCAAACATGCACAATGGTTCGAATTCATCTTTTACATTAAAGTGATACAAATTTGGTGGTCTGTCAGTCTCCCTAGTAGGTTTATGTTTGCTGGTTCCAAGAGGTATTTGTGATACTATTTTTAGAATATTTTATATAGTTGCTGAATACTTAACGTTCCTGACACCGGACTGTTTCTATTTTTCTTTTTCTTTCTGAAAGCTAGATATGAAATGTGGAACTGATAGTTGTGTGGGAGGGGCTAACCATGCTGCTGTTTTACCCAGCTCTGCTCACAAGTTCTTGCAGACAAGAGTGTCAGCATTCAGTGATTTCCCGTTCTCCCCCTATTCCTCCCTCCTCCACCCACTCCCCAGCCCATGGTTTTTCTCATGCAGGCTTCAGACTCTGGATGTGTAAAGCAACTCTCATCCTGGCTAACTGTCACCACTTCTTTAATCTGCCCACTCTGACCTTCCACCCTCAACAGAATAAGAGCTTAGGCAGACATAGGGCTGTAAGCCAATAGTGCCTCTGGCTCCACGTGAGTGAATGAAAGGAAAGGAAATTGTCCCATATGCATTTGCTCTGGATTACTCTATGGGTTGTCTATGTGGTGGAGAAAGCCTGTTAAACTTCTTTGGGTTCATCTTGTACATGAAAATTACCTGGCTTTTTAAAAAACAGAGGTAAGAATCACTATTTGGTATGGATGGGAGTTCTGGAGGGAGAGAAAGGCTAAGGGGGTGCTCCCAAGAAAAAGTCCAGTCAAAAACAAATAAACATGCTACTGTAACTGCCAATAACTCTAAGGGACTATGACATGTGCAAATTTATATGATATGCAATACAGTTTTAGAGAGCTTGTTTGAATTCTACTCTATTTCTGGATTATTATGAATAGATCAAGCTGCATCAGTTAAAATTGTAGAACTGTACAAATGAAACTGTTTCACTGACACATAGGCTGATTTGGATAGTTAAGAAAACATCAATTCTTCAGTTTTTAATGCTACAAAGTAATAGTGCCAGCAATTATATTATGAAAACATTTTAAATATAATGCTGATTTGCAGTACAACAGTACACATTTATACCTATAAGTAAGCCCAATGAATTCCAAGGGATTTATTCTCTGAAATGTATATTTAAAATTGCATCTTCAGAGTGTATAGAATGTGGAATTTCTGTGAAAGTAACACATGTTCCCTTCAATTTCTGTTTTAAAAGTCCAATATCTTTCCACTGAGAAAAAGAGGAGAAAAGGGGATATCAAAATAAGAATCAGCTTTATTGCATGAAAACAGTACATTGATAAATCATTGCTTTTTATTTTTACATAATTGTTCAGGTTTCTTGTGAGAAAAACCAGTGTCGAATTAACCAGAAAAGGCTTAGTCTGCACATTTATATGCTTTTAATTAATAAATAATTTTGTTATACCAGAATTGTGTATAAAATATTAAGGCTTCAATGCTACATGCTCACTCACGTAAAAAAAATCTGACTAATAGGAATAGGATTTTACTGTGATATATATGAATATGGAAAAGCTGGTTTCTCCAATTTATGTTAAAATCTTTTCATGACATTTGCAGCCAACTTTTAGGATTACAAAAAGCAACTGAGAGATTTCTGTCTTTAGCTTTTATGTAATTTGCATTATATTTTTATCTATAGTGAAACTGCATTGGTTTTAAATTCACAAATATATCTTTTATTTTTAGTTTATGTTTTGCAGTGGGTTGGATTAATATTGTCGCTTCTAGCATTTTTGTGGAGGAATAAAAGTGCTGCCATGTGTTTGTGGATTTTTGGTGCAATTATGACTTTTTACAATGTGGTTTTTGTTTGTTCATTTGTAGTGTGTAGGATTTGGTACACGGAATATACAGTATCAAACAACTGTTCTATATATTGTATTTCCTGTAGATGGAGATATATACAAATATATTTAGGGAATATATATGTACTAAACTATGATAGAAGGATGAATATTTTTTTCTTTTGAAATCTTTTAAAATGCAAGATAATTTTAAAAGATTTAAGAATCAGTTGACATTTCCCATATATCAAATAAAACATTAATAAAATAATGGTCCAGCCTATTTGCATAATAAGAAGCATTATTATATCTTCTGTTTTCATTCAAAAGTGAATTAGCTTGATTACTTAGCTTGCATAGGTATGGAAGGCTTCATTAACTCTCTGATTCAGGTAATTTTTCATATTTCTGACGATGAATTACAGAACAGAAAAGTATGCATCAATGAAATGTAGGAGAGCATTTACTTTAATTGTTATAGTGATGCCTTAAAAGGATTCTCCAACATTTACACTTTCAATCTCGTCTTGTATGCATGAATGTTCTAAATAATTGACTGTAGAACTAGAGTGCCAAAGGTATTTAAGAAAAACCTTGACAACCCATCTGTCAGTAATTAATAATAATAATGCCGAACCATTCTTGACTTCATTTCTAATGTAATTGCTTATTTAGCAGTTCTACATGCTAAATGCATTCAGGCCACTTGATAAAATACCACAACTAATCAAGTTCTATTGAGATTTTGTCTGAGGAACTTAACTATTCACTTCTTTTGTATACTTGGCAGGAACGGATGCAGGGGTCTGTGAATTGAATTGTGTAAGTGCTGAAGAAGGAGTCTTGGTTTGAGGAAACAGGAAAGAGGAAGGAAAGAGAAAAAGAAAATACAGAAGTGTAGGAACGAACGAAAGAAGAAAAACGGGGACTATGGGGAGAAAAAAGATTCAGATCACGAGGATAATGGATGAACGTAACAGGCAGGTGAGTTGAAATTTGAAAATCCAGTATCATCAGATCTTATAAAGGCTGTAATTGTCACACCTGCATTGCATCAATGGGACATAATAATGGATCCTAATATGTGTTTCATGTATAGAGTTTTCTATTGAACTATTAACATACATACATATTTGTAAAAACAATTATTCTGGGAATTCCTTTTCTCATGAAATAATTGATATCTAATTCAATATTTTTTATTAAAGTAAAACACATTTCATTTTATCATCCATAAAACTGCTTAGTATCTTAATTTGGATTAATCCAGTGATCAAAATAATTCATATCTCTTACCATTTTTTAAATGAACTGATTTTTGAAATGGCTCATATTGGGTAGTTATATTGTTTAATATATGTTTTGTAATGTAAAACGTAACATGATGGCATTTTGAGGACTTGCTCAAATTGTTATTCTTATTTAAAAATTACTTTTATAAAATATGAGAGTTCTCGAGATAAAATGTCAATACAGTAACCCTATACAGAAATTGCTTCTGGAAAAATTAAATCATTGTTGTTTAAAATTAAAGCTGAAATTGTTTTCTATGAATGTATAAAAACAAAGAAACAAACATTAAAAGTCAACACATATATCCAGGCATCCAAAAAAAAAGTTTAAAATGTGCCAACCAGAACAGATGTGACTCCATGAATCTTCAAATAGGTTATGGATGCATGCTACATCTTGGCCTTAGATTAGGTTTTGAAAATGGGAACATGTTCCATTTAACTCATTTTAATTGATTATGCAGATGAAGAGGCTTATGGGTAATTGTTTCTATTCGAGCCACAGACAGGATTTCTAAGTATTATTACTCCTGTTTTCATAGCTAGATCATTAAGAAGACTTCATCTTATATTATTCCTTTGAGATCCCTCTGCTGTCCTTAGATTCCAATGCAACCACGGTATCCATAATTAGCAAGCAGGTTTTTGCCTGTATCCCTCTTGCTGATCGGTTGCATGCTTCTTATAAATATGATGCAATGTATGAATAAATTATAGTTCTGATTTTCAAGTGAGTCTTGTGAAAAAAAATTGAAAACACTGCAATTACAAGCATAACTTGACCTCTTCATGGCAGAAAATCAAGTTTCAAATAAAGGCAACAGTGATCATACTTGATAGATTCATTCAAAGTCTTCCTTCTAGATTACTTATTGTTCTGGGAAAAAATCAAAAAGCAATAGTTTTGTCAGAGGCAAAGCCTCTTTTAATTGTTTATTGTTTTGAATTTAATTTAAAAATAAAATAGAGGCTAGCAGCTTTAAGAATATAGACCTTGGTAATTTTTTCCATAATCCTTTTAACCATTTTCTTTAAAATTATGTCAAAATAAATTTAAAAGTGGAGGAAATTTAAAAGTCTACTTATTTTTTAAGGAAATAAAGTTTATTCATATATCAGATCTTTTAGGCAGACTTGGCAATATTTTCAGATGGTATATTTTAAGAATAGGTATTTTCTGCTTTTGTTGAAAAAACTATATATTCAAAATACGGATACTGTAGGATTTAGTCAAGAAATGTTTGACTAAAATATTATCAAAAAATCAGAATGCTGTGTTTAATAAATATCAGTGACCACAGCTAAGTCTTGCCGATTTCAGGACAGATGTAAGTCACTGCATTTTAAATCAGTTAAATTTAAAAGAGGTTAACATTAGCTCAATTATGCAAAATGTTCTGGAGAGTTAAAGGCCATTATATTTAATTATATTAATTATTTTTCTATCATTTCATTGGAAATGATCTCTCTCGTCTTATTCTTTGTTGAAATGCTTGCACAATACTTTTTGGCACAATTGATAGAGATAAATTCTGTTGTTGAATTGGTTTTTGAAAATGCTTAGACTTACTCTGAATAATCCATTTAAGTTTCATGAGCAGGCAACTTTTTATGTCCTATTAGTTTTGCTATTTCTTAGAAAATAAAATTAAATGTTGATTCATAATTATTATAATAGTGAATGGATTAAATCAAGAGTTGGAAGAAGTTAAATTATATGATTAAATTATATGTTTTTATTAGAAACTCTATGCATCTGAATATATTTTCTAGAAGGAAATACAGAATAGTATGTAAACCAGAGCTGGAGCTTTCAACAGGCTCAGTAGAAATCTTTGTTTCTCCAGTAGAGAATTTCTGCTGGAGTCAAGGAACTGTCTTTTAACAGAGGCAAATCTGGATCCCACCTATCATTGTTGTAAGATGTAAGAGTGCATATTAAACTTATATATACTATGTATCTCTTTCAAAAATATTAACAATTTTAGAATAGTGTAGAACCCAATTCCTGATGAAATTGGAGAATTTAGGTTAGTCATAGCTACTTTTTTTTCTTCTGATTTCAGTGGGATTTTGTGAGAACTTTCTTTAAATACATAACTTTCTTTAGTTGCATAGTTTAGTTGCATAGTTTTTTATTTAATAGATGAGGATTTTCATATACTTGTATTGGGGACTTGCTTGAGTTAAAAATAATGAGTATGGAAGGGATCAAATTAACATTGTGTTTTCAGTAACTTTCATTTGCATAAGAAAATATACATAGGACATGATTGTTTTAAAATTAGGATTAGTTCTGCGGGAAATATAGGATGGCTTAATTTTCTTTTCTGAAACATAATTTGGTTGAATGCATCTATAATATTATTACATTGATATTGGTAGACAAAGATTTAGAATTTGTTCCTTTCGTTTTTGGCTCCTACTTGCAATCTAAAAAAGGAGATAGTGCTTTCTGTAACAAAAGGATTATGAATTGCAGTGCATTTATATGTTTTTTTTTCATGATAAAATACTAATTGAGCATTTTGCTGTTTCTGCTGTAGTCTATCAAAGCACAAGTGCATAACATCACAAGGCATGAAAATCTTTCAGACTATTTGTAAACATCTACAATTTTTATCATCCATAATTTAACATCTTCCATTCAATATTTTAATACTTTTTCTTTCTTATGCATGTTAAATTTGGTTTGACCAGTTTTTAAATAGAATCTGAGATCTTAAGATTTTCAGGGTATTTCAAGAATCATGTGCTCGCTGAATTTTTTTTAGTCATGCTAAAAATAGCTTATAAACTTTTGAAATCTATTAGTTATAGCAGCCAGTGCAAAAGCTGTTATAAAAAAGCAGAGTAATTCCAAGGAAGAAGTGTAAAAATCGAAATGAATTAATCCCCAACTTCATGCTGTGTTTGCACTTTCCTGCAAAATGAGTTTCCTCTATGAATATCCAAATTCCTTTTTGTAAAATTTCTTGTTTAATATTGTTTCCCATTATAAAATGGAGTTAAATAATAGCATTCATTAATTATTACCATTAGTACAACTAAATACATTATGAAATACAGTAAGATTTACTTTCAATAGTTAAGAAGCCTGCTCTTCCATCATTATCACCAAAAGTAGAAATGTACGAAATTAATATACTAAAATGACAGAATCAGTGGGTTTCATAATCCTGTTGTTAAGGGTCAAATGCCATGCAAATAATATGCCATTCTTTTAAGAAATAATGTCATGCTAAAATAGAAGTAAGTTAAGGGGAAAAGTGTAAAACATAGTTTCTGAAATTCTTAATAATAGCTCTTAATCATGTGACTTGAGAAGAAGGATGAGGAGTAGGTTAAACTAGATAAGGGAACAAAATTGGGAAACACTGCCCAAATACAGTACATAGGAATGTACTGGTTAATTTTTTTTAGCATTTTTTCTTTTTCATCTTGATCTTTCTTTTGCCAGCTTTTTTACCTACAGTGAACTTGTTTCTATTCTGCTGTGTTTCAGAGAATTAATGTGCTGATGAATAGAGAGAATAGCAATCTGTTTATAGGATTTATTTACAATATTCTGTTGGAAAAAAAATTACGAGCTTTGATTATTTCAGTTAACAAAATAGGTCCACGTAATGTACAAAATCTACACTAACAGTATGTGATAGCAAGTAATAAAATAAATAAAAGAATTGTGTGTTTGTGTGTGCACACTATAAAACTGTAATTGTGCATGCACAAAAGAGTAATATCAGTTGTGAATTATTGGTTAGGAAAAAGCCTCTTGTTTTTTTTTTTTTTTCCTGCCATAACTGCCTTACGCTTTTTATGCACAACAATAATGCACACAAAAATAGTAAGCAGAGTAGACAAAGTATTTTATGTAAAACGTTTTACTTCTTTGAAAGTGGGCCACTGAATTCACTCCAGGTATTGTACCTTTATTCTGCCTTCCTTCTTTCTTTGGGATGCTCAAAATATCAAGCCTAAAAATTTTGTTCTGCCACTTGAATATCTCTGGCTGTCTATATTCCTGGACCAGAGTTTGGCACTGTAGCACCCATGGGTGCTATAGTGACCGTGATACCACTAGATGGCATACATTGTCTGTATATGATTGGGTGGGGGGCTGTGCTTCTTTAAAAACGCACGTTTAAAATGGCCAAAATTCCATCCAAAAAGCCAAATTCCACAAGATCCCTTTCTGATTTTTTTAATTCAAATTGTTTCATTCTTGCATCTCCAATGTTGCAAGACATGCAGCAACTGCCAGCTTCCTGAAAAGATTATTAATTTTTTTGGAGACTAAAAAAACAAAAATCCTGCCAGTCTTTCTCTATCTCTCTAGTGTGTACAGATATAGATATAATGAGCTGTGTGACAACACATAAATGCTGTCAATAGATAAATAAAACTTAGCATTTGGAACTATAAATTGCCATTATATAATCACAGCTTAGTCTTAATATAAATTTATATTTACTTTTTTCCCCTCAATATTGCTGCATTATGAAGTGAAGAAAAAAGGGTCAGCATCACTCTTGCTGAAATCTCGAGTCTTTTTTTTTAAATTCAAGACTGATGTATGAGTCCTTTCTTTGTGGATAAGAAATGTTGAGAGAACTTCTGGTATCTTTGTTTTAATTTTCCAAATAAATCCAGAATTTTCTTTAAAAATTACCAAGCTAGTGGCATACCTGT